ACATAGAAATATATTTCCAGAAATTATATGAAACATATAAGGTTGAGAATCACTGTTTTAAATTGGTCAAATTTTATCGGTTTGTTACTACGATTATTTACTTGGAAAGAAAAGATATGTATATATATATGTTTGTTTGAATATTTTATTTATTGAATGTATGATAAAAAAAATGAAAAAAAAAGAAAAATAATAAAAAATAAAAAAAGAAAGAAAAAGAAAAAGAAATAGAAGAAATACATTTTTATATATAGTTTTAGAAATTGAAGACGTAAAGCATTTGATGATAGAAGCAGTTGATACCGAAAGAATATTAATTTCTTGGATGGCGCCATGTTCAGCTATAAACAATATTCTTATTAATTATACTATTGTTACATATTCATATGATCAAATTAAAAAAACGGAAGATATATCGAATACATTATCTTATATAAGATATAACGTTACCGGACTTAATCCATGTACACCTTATACGTTTGAGGTATTTGTAATCGCAGGACATAATAGATCAAATGGTTATAATACAACAGGAGAAACAAGTTCTAATCGTAAGTATCATTTATAATGTACATACGTGTATACATTTGATACTTTATTAGACACTTTAAAATTGACCAATGCACATATTTACATTTTAGTTACATACATCGAAGATGTTCTAAATTTACGTATTAATGGATCTAGTAATGTAGAAGATACTAATGATATTGGGATGGAATTGACTTGGGATGCTCCAGAAAAATATATTAGATGTATTGATTATTATAAGATCATACAATGCATTAAAAACTCTTGCAATGAAAATAATACAAGTGTTAGTATTACAAATACTACAAGCTATATTATATGGGGTCTTGAACCTTGTACGGAATACTTTTATACTGTTAAAATAATATCTTCGTCATCTATAGAATCGCCTGGAAAAAGTATATACAACACGACAAGGACAATAAGTAAGATTTTTTAAGATTATAAGCTATGAAAAAAATGATTATGTAATGTATATATATATATATATATATATATATATATATATATATATATATATATATAGAATATAAATATTATCAATATAATTCATCCATAGCATCAAGTGAGCCACTATCATTGAATGCAGAACCTGGTGATTTTGCTTTAAGCATTCACTGGTTACCACCAATGATTGGCTATCAATGTGTCCAAAAATATAATATTACAATATCTAACACGTTATATAAATATAATAAGTATACCACAAATACATCAGAAGTTATGAAGAATTTGCATGCTTGTACTTCCTATATGATTTATGTTATTCCAGTTAATAAAATATTTTTAAATGGAATCTCAGCTACTACAAAGGGAAAAACAAATAAAAGTAGTATGTAACACAGTGACATTAAAAAATCTGCTTATTAAATTAGATTGCCATTTAATTATATAGGATTTATTTTAATTTTGTAGTAACAGAATCTCCTGTAGTACATGCAAGTAAATGTGGGATTTATAATATATCAATGACATGGTGTATTAAAAAGGTATTAAACAATAATTGTACACTGAAATCTATAATAGTTATGTGTAATTATGTGAAAATCAATGGGCATGGTTATCTACCAAAATCGGGAGAAGTTAAAAAAAATTTGGACGAACATATAAAATTACCTATGCTTGAAAATATAACTGTGACAGATTTAAGTCCTTATACAAAATATTCATGCCAGGGAATTATTGTCAATGAGGCAGGAAACAGTTCGTTAAGTGAACCAGTAAATGTTACAACATTAGAAGATAGTAAATATTATATAGAAATGTATATTATTGTGCATACCACAGATATAGAATATTATAATATTATTAATTTTTTTCAGTATCATCTCCACCCATTATTAAGGTCAAAAATATAACAGATACTCGATTTACTTTATTTTGGCAGAATCCTATATATTTGCCAGGAATATTGACAGCGTTTGAAATAAAAATTACATGGTATACACTTTTCGAAAGACCAGATTGGTGTACTAATGATAATTTTGGCACTATTATCATTTCAAATATTACTGATACATCATTAGATTATTTAAATGGGAAACCATACACAAATTATACCGTAAGTATAAAAGGTAGAACTGCTGCAGGTTGGAGTGATGATAGTAAATTGATAACATTTGTAACATTGCCAGGAGGTATGTTTTATATATTTTTTATTTTTCTATAAATTTCGATAAATTTCAATAGATTATAATGTATAAACTTTTTTTCAGTTCCAGGAATTGTTTCTAATATTTCACATATTATTAAAAAAAATGAATATAACGATCAATGTGATGATATACATAATGATCAATTAGATACAGTTGTAACATGGGATTTACCATGTTCCTTAAATGGAAAAATTGAGTCTTTCTTTGTGTCGGTGCATGGTATAAGAAATGGTTATGATCCACACATTTTTTCTATTAAGAAAAATTATAGTAAAATTATTGAGAAAAATTATGTATATTCAATGGTTCTTCCATCACTAAAATCAGAATATAATTATACACTTAACATATCAGCTAAAGTTAGAGATGTTGAAACTTGGAGTTTACCAGCAAGTTATGGTGATATTTTGTATCCTGCTAAGTGTATGTATTTCATTCTTCCCCAAATTTATATATATATATATATATATATATATATATATATATATATATATATATACATATATTTATGATCTTATTTATTATTGCAGGTCCACCAGAACCTGATGAAGAATATATAAAATCAATTAGCATAGATCCATATAAAGCACGTAGATCTACTACATCAGTCACCATCTTGCTTCCATTATTTTCTAATGATAATGGTTTAATTAAATATTATGCCATTATGGTTTCAAAAAAAGGATTTAATGTTGCTTTAAATAATAGTTTTAATGTGACCGAACAAACATGGCCAGATACTCCATCATGGGAGGAGTCCATGAATAATGATTTCTCTTTAGTTTATCAAGCTACCGGATCGCATTGGCATCCTTTTCGTAAGTAAAATATAAATAAAAGAAAATAGAAAAAAGAAAAAACCTCTGCTTGAATGTACAATTCATAAATATTTGAGTATTCATTTTAGCAAATTATGTTGCTGACTATGGACACATAAAAGCAGTAAAATATGTACTTGGTGAAGACACAGCTTGTAAAGAAATATCATCTAATACAAATAAACGGTTGTATTGTAATGGACCACTTAAATCAGATACATGGTATGATGTTAGAATGCGTGCATTTACTTCCAAAGGTTTTAGGGATTCGCCTGCTTTTTTGATAAAGACAAGTTCGTATTAAACAGATGTTGCAATAAAACAAAAGCTACGCGTTACATTCTTTTTTATTATTCTAACTACAGAATGTCATTATAGATGCAGAATTAAACGTTGGCGTTGTAATTGGAATCGTTCTTGGAATTTTATTTTTGGGGATTTTGACGACGATGATGCTTTTAGTACGAAGATGTTCTCCGTACACGTAAGTGTTTAAATTCTTCTTCTTCTTTTTTTTATTTTATTTGTATAATCTTCTAAATAATTTGGAACTTTTCTAATATGAAAATATTAAATAATCATATTTTAATTAATGTAAAGATATTCAATACACATATAGTTAGTCACATTGGTCAGTTATACATTTATGAGAAATAATCAATATTTATTCTATGACTCAGAAGGATGTTATAGCTATAAGAACCAAGGTTACTGAATGCATTTGTCATGAATGCAGAGTATGTGTCACTTCACAGCAGTTACAAAAAGTGATGGTTAACCACAAAATCATAATTAATTGCACTAAATATATTTATCATGATTGTATTTAAAATAAAATAATACAAGTAGTTTTATAGCTTCATTACAGTTAAGTCACTATATTTAGTTATGGCTTTGAACTTTTGGCGAAGAAAATCATTATATCTTTTTTGGATAAAGTGCGTGTATTAGAATTTGTTATTTCAATTTGAGAGTTATTTTTTCATTACTTTTTTTTTTTATTTAGATACAGTTGTTTGTATGATATCAATAATTATTATTTATTATAATTTGTATCATTGCATTTGGATATATTTTAATAAGATTCAGCATAAATAAATTCTGCTTAATGATTTGATTCATTACGATTAATGACTTAAATTATAAAAATAAGTTTTAGATTAATAAATAAGATAATTTATTTTTGTCATTACAGAATATTTCGTCAAGTTTTAAATTCTGATATGCCTGGATCACCATTGCCTACTCCATTTACAAGAAAAAAATTCCTTGCCCACTGCCAAGAACTTATTGACAATCCTGGTAAATTAAGTAATGAATTTAGGTTGCTTCAAACTTTGAGCGTGGATCTACAGATGCCAACGAATACTGCTTGTTTGCAAGCTAATAGAAAAAAGAATCGATATTCAGACATTTTACCATGTATGAATTATATTTCATTTAAACATAATGATTCTATACATAAATCATATTAATTTTATATCTTATACTTACAGATGATTTTTCAAGAGTGAAATTAGAAGTAATTGATAATGATCCTAACACCGATTATATTAATGCTTCATTTGTAAAAGTAAGTAAATTAAGATATAATGAATTTAATGTACATGATAATATATAAATTATATGATAGGGTTATAGTGGAGAGGATGAATATATAGCTTGTCAAGGACCAAAAGAAGATACAATATATGATTTTTGGAGAATGATAGATCAATATGAAATAAATATTATTGTCATGTTAACTCAATTAATTGAGAAGGGTAAAGTAAGTATTATTTTACATAATATTAATAAACTGTTGATTATTGGAATAAAATAGTTTTATACATTATTTTCCAGGTAAAATGCCATCAATATTATCCAACAATTAGAGAAACTTTTGGATATGAAAATATAACTATAAGATGTACAAGCGAATTAGATTTTAGAACATACACTCAAAGGACATTAATATTACAAAAGGTTTTTATTTAATAGAAAATATTTTTATTATATTTGTGTTATAAGTTATATTTTAATTAGTTCACTTTTATAGGAAAATAAGAAAAAAACGATAACACATCTCCATTTTAAAGATTGGCCAGATCATGATGTTCCAGAGGATTTTGATTCAATGATTAATTTTTGCCAAATTATGCGTCGTAATATAGGCACTAATAAAGGTTTTGTTGTTATTCATTGCAGGTATTATTATATTAAAAAAGAACATTATTTTTTCTAGAATAATACATACAAAAAATAATGTGTTAATGTTGTAAATGTATTTTTTTAGTGCGGGAATTGGTAGAACAGGTACCTTAATAGCAATTGATATACTTTTACAATATCTTAGAGATAATAGAAAATTAGATGTGTTCGGAACTGTTTATAGATTAAGACATTATAGAATAAATATGGTTCAAAGAGAGGTATGCAATAGAATTGAAAATTATGAAAAAGATCATTGTGTGTATGTAACAGATTAATTACTTTGATAACATTTTTTTTTTATAATTTTAGAGTCAATATACCTACATATATAACTGTATAATGCAGGTCCTTAAAAATCCATATTTTTTAAAAACATGTAAGTTATTTAAAAGTAATAATAACTAATTAAGTTTCCTTGATAAAATAAAAGATAACATTAAGTTTATTTTTTTTTTTTTTTTATAATATAGATAAACCACCTCATGTGGATCCAATGCATGATAATAACTCCAAAAGTACAAGTGAAACTACTAATTCGGATGGCAGCCTTACAGTAAATCTTGAAACATGTATGTGACTTTCTCACATATGTAGATCGCAATAGATATTTTATTTGTTATGAAACTATTATTCAGGCCATATTTATATTATATACTACTGAAAAAAAAAAAACAAATTTTTAGCCATTTTGTTAATATTGATAATGGATCTTATTTAGGAGATTGCAATATTTACTAAATTCTCAAATATGAACAAATATATGATCGAATGTGCCTTGTCGATGTCTGACTCAATGAGCACGAAATTGATCAAAAAATTTTTGTAATGAATTTAATAAGCAGAATATGAATTATATACAACTCAGACAAATTTTTTACAAAATTACTATTTTACAAATCAAAGTAAGCAACTTAAGTTAAAGCATTAAATACATTCTAATTCTAATTCATTGTAAATAAATAACAGAATATATTCTTTTTACAGAACATTATAATAATGAGGTTTAAACATAACGTGTAAAGCAAATATGGTAAAATTACTTTAATTCTTTGATTAATCCTTTAATGTATATATTGTAAACTAGCCATTAATAATGACATTTATAATATTAAAAGCATGCTTGTAAAATACTTTATATCACGTACAAAGATTAATTATAAGGAAAAACTTAAGGTAATTGATTGTAATTGTAACCATGATATTATACAAGTGTAAAAGCATTAATTTATATATTTTTATTGTTATTAGAAAAATATTATAAAAATGTAATGCAGGAAATATATACATATATATATATATACATATATATTTCTCTATAATTTATTTTTCATTTATGTAACTGTACTATTATATACAAACCATACTGTGAAGTACACTTAATTAGTTCAACGTTTTAATATAAAACAATATTTTTTATATTTTAAAGAAGTAACTTTATTGGATAAATTAATATCGATATTTTGTAGAATAATCTTTTGGTGATACAACCAAACCTCGTCCTTTCCTTGCACCTCTATAAACTGTTTCAATAATATCAATCATTTCCTGTTTATCTTCAAGTGTCCAATTAATTTTATTATTATTTCCTGTACCCAAATCAATCATTATGTGTTTATTTCTAAAGAAAAACATAACTGTGCAAGGATCGTATAACTCATACCTAAAAAATGATTTGTGACGTCTAATATTTTCTTTTATCGTTATAAGAATATAATTGACGGAATAATTAATTAATCGAGTAAACTTACATTTTGTTGAAATCAGGAACTTCTGTAATGTCGACTAAATATATTACCGCAAAATTTTTAACCTTCTCTGCGATGTTGTAAAGTACTTCATCCATTTTCATACATGTTGGATCCCAATCATGACCGAATCTAATAACCTAACAAAAATATCATCACAGAGAATTTAAGAAAAAAAGAACAATAAATTGACAATTATAAGAAATTACATTATTATCATTGTTTATTTAATAATTATAAACTCGATTATTTATATTATGTGTATGAAACTTACAACTACTCGATCTTCTTCGGACAAAATGGCTTGATCAACTTGCCACCCATTATGAAGATGCGATAACATATAAGACATTTTGTCGTATTTTTAAAGTTAATTGTTATAATCACAATAAAGTATTATATATACATAGACAATATATTTTTTATAATTTTAATATTATGCGACAACACATGAGAATCATCAGATCACCCAATACGTGCATCAACGTTTGATAATATAATCTCTTCCATATCTATTTAAGACTACATTAGTTTGATTTTCTATCACGATGAGCGTTATTGTTTCGTATTCATTAATAAAATTTAGTTACCGATGTATTAGTAGATGGCTGTAGTTACGCTGCGAATATAATACCCTCTAGTGTGCTTATGTGGAATTAACTCATTACACAAGTCGTTTATGATAACAAATAAACATTGATTTAAGACTGTTCACTATTCCTGATTTCGTAATTGTTTATGCCATCAATGAGAACAAACGTAATTCTAGACCGATTTTGATGAACATGATCTTATTTTAAAGACAAAGATTTAATCTAGGAAATATCTATTTCGAATTTTTGAAAAAACTTTATTTTCTTTGAAAGAATCATGTTAAAAAATTAAATTAAATTTTTCACTAATAAAAACTTTTTCAAAAAGATATGTCCTTGATGATAAATCTTCGTTTTTGAAATGGTACCTTGTCCCATCAAAATTGATCAAGATTATTCTCGTTCTTGGCATAAATGTTGTTTTCGCTATTTTATCATACACTTTATTCTCTTCTAGATTTAAATTTTAAATTAACAGTCCTTGGCTACGTGTGACGATATTAAAATAAAATCTCTGATCGACTTCGACTGTTACTGGATCAATCATGTTACTGAATCATCTTCCTTCGTATTCCGACGATTAAACATTGATGGTCTCTCAGGATGTCTGCCGTACAAAATGATATATATATATATATATATATATATATATATATATATATATGTATATATCTATTTATTTATTTATATGATTTCCTTATATATATATATATGTATATATATATATAATTTTCTTATATACTTATAAATCTAAATACACATAGTTATCAATCGTACTAATAATTATACACTTTCATTGTCTTTGATAGAAATAAAAAAAGTTACGATATTATGAGATAAAAGAAATGATGTAATCAAGGATTCAATAATCATTTCTAAGATTAATAAAATTTACAGAGGATTATTTCTTTTTGAAGAATACACGATAAGATATATCTTAACCAGACTTATTTCTTCTACTCGAGAAAAACGATTTATCAACAAAAACAATATGTACATCTGTACATATGTATGTAAACATATCCGTATACACATCTATAATAGTAATGTGTCATAAATTAAATTATTAAAAAGTCTTCGTGTTGATTAGACAAAAACATATTATATCATAGGTATTTTCTTAAATTTGATATCAAAAAATTAATATGAAAAAAGTCAATCAATTAGAATAAATAATAATAAAATGAAAATTTATTATGACAGAAGAAGAGTATCATTTAGATTATATTGTAAATTAATATTCCATCGTAAGATTTAATATAATCACATTATTTTTCATATAATATCGCTTAGATGCAATGACTTTTAATAAAAAATTATTAACAAAATATTATAAATAATTATATGTCATGTTAGAATTAACTTTATTAATATTTTTGATATATATGTTGTATGTATGAAAACGTGTAAATATATAAATAAAAGTCATTGTTCATACGAGTTTAGTTACATTTTACGAGTTTGTATATAGAAATTGTCACAAATAGTCTAGACGAGAAAATCAAAGAAAAAATAAAGGAGGGGCGTGGTGTCTCGTTAATCGTGGGGGGAATTCAATATAAGTATGTATGTCCGTATGAACGATTAACATTGTTACAACGGTGTATTCTTGCAGAAGCGAAAATGATAGCTATCAAAACGGAAGCTAGTAGCGACGATGCAACGAAGAACGTGTCACCAGGTAGATTTATTCATCATTATCATTGTCAGTTTTATCATCACCACTATTATTATTTATAATTGTTTACAATCAAATATATGTTGAAAATGATTTATTAAAACAATTCTCCCATCAGTGCGTTTTCGTCAAATGTAAAATTCAAATTTTATTTTTCTGTCGCGATGAGCATTGTGATATATTAAAGAAACGTTTCGAAGAGTATTGTCAGCGAGCTAGTAAACTTAATTCTTTATAATTACGCTAATATAGCACTTTTTGTTTATTATATTGTTACTTTAGTTATTTTTTCAAATTATTTTTTATTACTTTATTTTTCTACACTGTTTCTTGAATTGTTAAAGAACTCTTTATTCAAATGGATTTATATATTACCCTAAAATATAATCTCGCATAAATACTTTTTGCGTGCATATATCATACAATCTGTTTTGTTTAAATAAATCAATTTTTTGTTCGGATTCAAGAGATATTTTTTATTTATTAGAAAAGTCATCACGTTCGTTATCACGAGTGTCAATTATATCCTGTGATAATATCTTAATAAATAAATTTTTTAAGATCGAGATAATATTTCAATTGAAAGTCAAGATAACAAGAAGATTTTATACTTACACAAGTGTCTTATTGCGTTCTCAGATTGTGTATATCAAATTTACTCACTCTCTCTTTTATTTTATTTTAATTACAACAGTGTTTAATTATAGATAAGCTGTATTGAAATTCTTAAATATGTCAAAAAAAAAAAAATGTAATTTTTACTTAATTCATTTGTCTTCTTGATAAATTCTTATCTTTATCTTAAAATGGTATTAAATGTGAGATTATATTAGATTATATTATGAATAAATGCATAAATATATCAAATGTTAATAATTGCGAGAAAAAAATGACGCGTTTAAAATTTAAATATTTAAATAAAGATATTTAAATATAAAAATATTTAAATAAGTCTTTTTCATTTTTTAATTGATCGAAATTAAGATCAAGAACATCATTTTCATTTATTGAACATATATGTGTGTATGTGTTTTTTCTGTATGTATTCTCTCTCTCTCTTTCTCTACATATATATGCTATACATATTCATACATACATATATATATATATATATATATATATATATATATATGCGTATATATGTGTATGTGTATGTGTGTGTGTATTCCAGGTAAGCTGGGGGTCAGACATTTGCAAGTTCTTCTACTTTTCTTTGCCATGGTCATAGGATATAGTCTTAGAGTGGGAATGTCAGTGGCTGTTGTGGCAATGTCGAACTCTACTACGGCAAATCCAGAGATCGAAGTAAATCTTTTTTATATTATCCAATGTTTAACATTCAACATCAAGAACCAACTATAAGCTATAATATTAACATATTCGACGAAAGATTAAACAGAAGTGTTTAAATCAATTGTATTAATATGTAATTATCGAAGTATAAAATAAATTATTTAAAAGATTTTATAATTTATTATATATATATATATATATATATATATATATATATATATATACATATACATACATATGTATATATAATGTATATAATAAATATTTATAATTTTTAAATAATACTAATTTGTTAACGATTTTATGATATTTGTAAATAATTAGATCGATCGTTTTTTTAGGATTATGGATGGACTTCGTTAGAAAGAGCATCGATCCTTAGCTCATTTTTCTGGGGTTACACAATAATGCAGATACCATCGGGTTATATCATCACCATTTGGAGCACTCAAAAACTTCTCTGTTTGGGGATGTTCATTTGCGGTGTATTTAGTTTATTGACGTACCTTGCTGCTCATTATGGCGGCTTCATAGCTGTATACGTTTGCAGGGTAGGC